TGATATTTCGTAAGATACCGAAAATGTGTCAAAGGTCATGAAATTGAGTCAATTTTAGGTGATATTTCGTAAGATACCGAAATGTGTCAAAGGTCATGAAATTGAGTCAATTTTAGGAGTAAATAAATTTTATCTATTTATATCATGATATGTATATGAATATAAGGCATTTACAGTGCATTTACAGATGTTAGGAGATAGGCTGAAGAAGTTTAAATACTTCAACAGACATTTTAACATATACTCTGTTAATTGTCACATTTTCATTCATTAAAGTAAATGTCACAATTTGCCATCCGAAAACTCACTCTTATAACGATCTATATTCAGAAAAGATACCGGATTTGAATGATCCGGTATCTTTATATCATCATTTTACGAGTTACTGATGTGTCCTGTTCCATCATTTATTTTTTTTCTTCTTGAACTTTGACCTTCTTTAGTACATGAATATTTATAGCAGAAATTATTCCAGCTACAAGTCCTAAAAATATTCTATCCATATTTCGATTTTGGAAAACTTTTCCCACAACAAGACGCAATATACAACGTATTATTAATACCGTTTTTGTACAAGTAAGATACAATATTATCTATTCATACTTCACGTATTTCACATTTATTTAAAATAAATTTATGTAAAAATAACAACATAGGTAAACATTATCGTTATTATTATCATTATCATCGTTATCATCACCATCATCATCATTGCGATGATGATAATGAATATGATATCATTGGTGTTTTTTTTTTTTATTGATTTGGAATAATTTCTAGGATGATAATCCATTGTATGGTCGTGGAACATTGGGTGTTTTCTCTGGTGTTTATATTAGTTATATGCAAAATATTCTTTTAGTTGGTGTAATTTTAATTCGTCTACCATGGATTGTTGGCCTTTTGAGCTTAAGTATAACAGTATTCGCAATTTTACTCGTCTTTGCAACGGTAATACTTTACTCAACTATGTGTTTTATTCATTTTTTAATTATTTAGATTTGAAATTTTATAAATTTAAATTTAAAAAAATTTTTTTTTCTTCATTTAAAAATTACGAATAATATATTAAATGAAAATTTCCAAAAAATAAATTGAGGAAATGGAAGATATAGATAGCTTAATGAATATAAATTATTTAATAATTAATTTATCTAATAAATCAATTAATTTAGATTAATGTAATATATGAAACAAAAAAAAAAAATGAAAGAATTCATATTTATATTTAGATTTTTTTTTCATCATTTTCTATCGCAGCAATTGCAACAAATGGAAGTGATCGTTTATATGGTGGTCCATTTACAACAATTGCATATAGTTTGGGTAATCGAGTAGCAGTTGTTGGTAAATAAATTAGTATAAATTATTTAATAATTAATTAACCAATAATGACAAATATTGAAGGATAAGTAGATGAAATAAGGAATAATTCCGGAAAAATTGAAGATGATCATATTTTATAGAATCCTAAAGTTAATTGCATTTAATGTCAACATATTATATTGTGACAATTATATGGAATAGATTCAAATCTAATATATATATATATATATATATATATATTTCATGAATGATTTTTATGTTATTTACATTAGATAAAGGATTAAATTTTTTTGATAAAATACAAATGGATATGAAATGATTGAATATATTATGAGGATATATAACGGATATGTTTTTCAGTAAATATTAGCAATATTTTTTACTAAACCATCACTATAACTTTCCCAATTGTTAATTAATCATTTGCAGTTTACAACTTTCTTAACTGTTAATTAATCTTTTGCAATTTATAACTTTTCCAATTGTTAATTAATTATTTGCAATTTACAACTTTCTTAATTGTTAATTAATCGTTTGCAATTTGCAACTTTCCCAATTGTTAATTAATCGTTTGCAATTTTATTTGCAAATTAAATTTTATTATTATAGCTGGTGTAATGCTTTGCTTAGCAAATTGTGGCTTTACTGCAATATGCTTAACAATATGTGCTCAATTAATTCAGCAATATATTTTGAAGCCAAAATCGGTGCAGCTAAATTTAATAAAGCTAGCATTTGAAAATGTTAGTTAAATGAGAATTACTTAATATTTCCAACGATCATCTGAAAAATGTCATTTTAAAAAAATAAATGAAGCAAAAAATAAATAAATAAATAATAAGAAAATAAGCTTAATTTCAATTATCAAATGTATTTCAATTCATATTTTAAAGTATCAGGAAAATTTTTTTTTTTTGCGCC